CGAAGAGGAGGCTGAGGGGGGATCTCATAATTCTCTACAGTCACTTGAAACGACATTGTAGAGAGATTGGTGCTGGTCTCTTCTCACAGGTAATTAGGGACAGAACTAGGGGGAATGGTTTCAAGTTGCAACAGGGCAAGTTTAGGCTGGACATTAGGAAGAAATTCTTCACAGAAAGAGTGGTCAGACACTGGAATAGACTGCCTAGGGAGGTGGTGGAGTCGCCATCCCTGGATGCGTTTAAGTGTCGTTTAGATGCGGTGTTGGGTGGTATGGTTTAAGGGTGAACTTGTAGTGTAGGGTTAATGGTTGGACTTGATGATCCCAAGGGTCTTTTCCAACCTGAATTGTTCTATGATTCTATGATTATAGTTAAATCAAACTGTACAGGGGGAGAACTGCATGGAAACCCTGTTTTTATGTCAGTGGCATCACAGATAAAAGTGGAGGAGACAACTGTTACCACCTCGAGAAGTGAAGCTGGAGGAACATTGCCCCGGTAACTGAGCAGAATAATCCAGTTAATCCACCAAAGACCGCATTTGGCTTGAAATACACTGGACTATTGGTCTATGAAAATAGGATGAGCTCTGAGGAACACCTCTTTGAGGTATCCCTTAGTCCCAAGTTCTTCTGTATCATGGTCACTAATAGAGCCTGCCCTATGTCTGGGATGGGCCCTGAGAGGCTGAGTCTGTCAGCCTGACCTAGCCAGGGGAGTGTGAGCCTAAAGCCCGACTGCATAAAGAATTAAAACCAGCCTGGTAATTCTCTGCCAGCACCACCTAAAGGAGCTCTGAGAGGTTAGGTTTGGATTGGTTTGGGATTCCCTGTCCTTGGCATTGGGATGAGACCCCGAGCAAGTTCAAGTTAGTGTGAAAGGTTTCACCCTTTCCTTGCAGTGGGCATGCCAAAAGATAATCAGAGAATCCCCAGCTGTAAGCTTAAGATATATTTAAAAACTCCTAGAACAAAATCAGAAAAGGATAACTTTGTGGAAAACAAAAACGCAGAAACAGAGTAAATAAACCACTTTCAGTCCTCCCTTCCTATGGATTTCCTTGTAAGCATTGTTCTGCTCCTGAGTCCTGTGACTTTCTGTGGTTTTCTAGGTTTGATGGATTTCAGGTAGTTCCACAGTGGCTGTAGAGCAGCTTCCCCCTCTCTGTCACCCCTGAGGCAGAGCTGCTTGGAGCTGCTACTTGCTGAAGACTCCTAGGGGAAGCTAGGACCAGTGGCTCCAAGGGAAGAGATACTGAATGCCTTCTCTGCCTCAGTCTTGACTGCTAAGGAGGGCCCTCAGGAGTCCCAGACCTTGAAGACCACAGAGGGCATCAGGAGAAAGGAGGAATGTACCTGGGTTGAAGAGGGCTGGGTTAGAGATCAATTAAGTAAACTGGATGTCCACAGGTGCACGGGCCCTGATGGGGTGCAGCAGCGAGTGCTGAGGGATCCAGTAGAAGTCATTGCTAGGCCACTCTCCATCAGCTTTGAAAAGTCCTGGAGAACAGGAGGGGTGCCTGAGAACTGGAAGAAAGCCAGCGTCACTCCAATCTTCAAAACGGGCAAGAAGGAGGACCCGGGTAACTACAGCTGGTCAGCCTCACCTCCATCCCTGGAAAGGTGATGGACCAGCTTGTTCTTGTAGCCATCTCAAAGAATGTAGAAGAAAAGAGGGTTATCAGGAGCAGTCAGCATAGACTCCCCAAGGGAAAGTCATACTTGATCAATTTGGTAGTCTTTTATGATGACATAACCGGCCATATAGATGAGGGAAGGGCAGTGGATGTGGTCTACCTCGACTTCAGCGAAGCTTTTGACACAGTCTCCCACGGCATCCTCACAGGCAAGTTTAGGCAGTGTGGGCTGGATGATCGTACAGTGAGGTGGGTTGGGAACTGGCTGAAGGAGAGAGTTCAGAGAGTTGTGGTCGGTGGGTCAGAGTCTAGTTGGAGGCCTGTGACTAGTGGTGTCCCCCAGGGGTCAACTCTGGGTCCAGTCCTATTCAATCTGGGGACAGAGTGTACCCTCAGCAAGTTCACTGATGATACAAAACTGGGAGGAGTGGCCAACACGCCAGAAGGCTGTGCTGCCATCCCGTGCAACCTGGACAGGCTGGAGAGCTGGGCAGGGAGAAACCTAATTCAATAAGGGCAAGTGTAGAGTGCTGCATCTGGGGAAGAACAACCCCATGTATCAGTACAGGTTGGGGACTGACCTGTTGGAGAGCAGCTCTGGGGAGAAGGACCTGGGAGTCCTGGTGTACAACAGGCTAATCATGAGCCAGCAATGTGCACTCGCAGCCAAGGAGGCCAGTAGCATCCTCGGGTGTATTAAGAAGAGTGTGGCCAGCAGGCCAAGGGGATTTATCCTCTCCCTGTACTATGTCCCGGTGAGGCCTCACCTAGAGAACTGTGTCCAGTTCTGGGCTCCCCAGTTCAAGAAGGACAAGGAACTACTGGAAAGAGTCCAGAGCAGGACTACTAAGATGATGAGGGGACTGGAGCATCTCCCATATGAGGAAAGGCTGAGAGAGCTGTGTCTGTTTATTTTGGAGCAGAGGAGGATGGATCTCATCGATGCTTCTAAATATCTAAAGGGCAGGTGTCAAGTGGATGGGACCAGAGTCTTCTTAGTGGTGTCGAGCGACTAGACAAGGGGCAATAGTCACAAACAGAATCTCCAGAGGTCCCTTCCAACACCTAACATTCTGTAGTTGTGTGGATCGTGATTCTATGATACACCTATACATTCATATTTTGTTCTTTGGTGATTAAAAGTCATTGAAAGAACTACAAGTATGTTTCAAAAGTGTCTTGATTAATGAGAGCAGTGAGGAGTATTGCTTGAGGGGACATCAAGGAACATCAAGCTATGCTTTCAAGTCAGAATGAGAGAGTTTTTCTTGTACAATTCTATTTTCACCACCCTTGGCCACAATGTCCTGAATATAAACTCTTTAATTAAGAAAAAGATTTTTCTTATTTTTTTCCAGTGAGAAAGCATGACATTGCTGTCACTTCGTCAAGGAATTCCCAGAACTTTCTCCATCCTGTGGATGAAGGAGAGAGCCATGAATAGTGCTGTTTTAAGTAGGAGTGATTCTGCCACAAAAAAACAAGGTAAAAATGATAATCCTCAGAGTCACAAAAGGCCAAGGGTTCCAATAGCTGCTGGAGCACGTTGGAAGAGCTTTGGTAATATTGACAGTTTGCTGATCATATCTCTGCTCTGCTGGTGCCACCTGCTTCTGGTGTTGGCTCTAGCTTTTCTGTGCAGAAAAAACCTTCCTGCAGGATTTTCTCCTTTGAGCGTTATCCAAGAAAAACAGGACAGTCTGCTCTGTTGTCATTCTCCTTAGGTGACTCTCTTGCTTCTCACCAGTTTCTTTACAGGTAACTGTGGTTTTGATCTGACTATTTTCTGTGCAGATGAGCTATTATTGTAACTCTGTTTTGCAGGCTTTGGTGGTATCCTTTGCTCTTCATCGTGTGCACTTCCCCAGCAGGGCTATGTCTAAATCTGATTTATTTTCCTTGACTTAGTGAGGACTAGAGGTGATTTTATGCACAGAGCTGTGGTGTAGGATCATTTCCCTTTGGGTGAATCCCATTTTATCCTCACAGGGCCTGGTATCCAGTGCATTTGTTTTTTTTACAGAGACAGTCTTTTACACAGCAAGGTTTATTTGAACATTTGAATTGTCATGTCAACCATGTCTGTGACACATAGCAATGAATGCAGTTACAGCTTCCTACCAGGTCCAGAAAATAAAAATGTGTTAACCTTCCCTTGTGGCTGCAGGGAAGACCAGTGTTTGGTGACTTTGAAATGCCTCCTTGTGCACAAGCAGGGCTGTGAATGTGTGGGCATATATGCATGTGTCTCTGGGAGATGGGATCTGTTTGTGATCACACCTATCACTGAGGTTGAAATTATATACCCAAAGAGTGACTGCCTGAAAGTCAGAGATCTAGTATGAGCAAGTCACCTAGACTCCTAATGCTTGAAAATTTAGGCTTCTCTAGAGGGTAATTCACGCAGTGTCAGGCACCCGTCTTGGGAAAGAACGTGCTAAGCATCTAGAGGGAGCCTATAAGTGTCCCTTTGACTGGATATTTAGATACCTAAAGGTAAATGAGACTAATCCTTCTGCCATTCCTAGAGGAAGCTAGAGTTGACATTCCTGCCTGGTTCTCTTGTTTTCAGGTCTTCTTCTGCCCTATCTGAAATACTTGCAGCTTTTTCACACATAGTTTTTGTTGTTGAGGCTCCACTGCAAGGTGCACTTTCTACTTTGCAATGTCCAATGACAGAGCAGAAATAGTCATGGACGCGTTCGCCTATACGAAACCTGAACAGGGAGAGAAAGTCAGATTTAGTTTCATTCCCGACCACAGCTGGATGCAATGCAGTCAGTATCCCTCCCATGAAAGACAGTGGCACATGGACTCACTGCTGAGCTGTCTTATCGGCAGTGGGATCAGAAGCTGCCCTCCTGGAGTCTCCCTCCCACTCCTTCAGTTTCTTCCCCAGACCTCAACAGCAGTATGTGGGCTACACTTTCCCCTCCAGAGACCTTCCTCTGCTCCGGCAGCCTCCATTCAATAGTGCTGATGTCACACTTGTCTCAGGGATAGGCTGGAACATCCGAGTCTCAAGGAATCAGGTTGCTACAAATTGCAGTCCCTGATCTTGCTTGTACTCCCTATTGTTACCTCTGGGATGGGATTTTTTTACTGTTTCCAGACATTGTAGCCCAGTGACTTGATGGAATATGCTTACATGTCTGTGCTGTGTTCCATGTTGTTATTCCACTTCCACTTGCTCTCGTTTGCATAGTATGTGAGACCAAGTAAGTAGTAACCACCTCTTGACCGTAGACAAAGGTATAACTAGAAAAGACACAAACACTGATAATCCATTAGAATTTAATTTTCTTCGCCAGTCGTACATAGAAATCTTGCTGCTAAATAGCCAACGCAGGAAGAAAGCGTACATCCCATCACACCGTGTCTTTCCACAGCTTCAGAGACTGACTTTTTCTGTTTTCCTTTATGCTCATGTCTCTTCCTGGGGGTTCTTAGGAATAAAATAAGTAGAGTAAGATACCTGTGATACCTTTAGAGTTATACATTGTAGTTAGCCAGGTGTTACTTGATACCTGGATGTGCTTTTCTATTCAGATTGTGATGGGAAAGCCTCTTCAGGTTTTGTGAAAACAATGGCTCTTACAACCATGTGTCTGTTTGACTTGCTTGGTCTGTGTTTGTGTTCTAAGTGTCTTTAAAGCACAACCCAGCAAGGCAGAGAGTTTGCTCCTTCCCATGGGAGCACACCTGGAGAGAGAAGCTTCCAGATGCAGGACTTTAACCACCAAGAGGCATCTTACTATTAGGGTGTTTGCTGCCATACAGTATGAATGCTTGGTGTATAGAGCTAGTAGTTTATAGACCCCCAAAGACATCTCACAGGAGAAGACAGAAGTGTAACCCATCAGCCCTTTGGGATACAGGTCAAGCAAGCCTAGAGGCAGCCCCATGAAATGAGATCTCACCAGTTCTTCTTTGCTGTCAATGATCACCAGGTCTGAATTCATGTCAGTACATTCTTTACGGGAGGCATTCCAGTCTTTTATTTCTGCTTTGTCAGAAAAGAAGTAACAATTTCCCCCATTTTTTTCCCAGCCTTGGGGGCAGCCTGCAGGAAGGAAGAACAAAGATGAAAAATCCAAGTTCACACGCACAAAAGGATCCCATTTCAAATGAATTGTAAGAGAGTAAGTTACAACTAGAAAAGTACATATGTTGTCTGGCTTATCATTTTCTCCAGGCCACCTGGAATCCCTGGAGGTCTCTGTAGCTAATATTGGTCTGAGAGTCACTAGGCATGGGTGAGAGAAGGAGAATCACACATAATGTAAACCAACCTTTTAAATCTTTCCTCAGGAGATAAAGTGGAATGATTAGGACAAAAACCAGCTTTCTCTTTTCAAGTGTCTTACTTGGCTGCTGCAAAATACGGCAATAGAGATGTTACTGAAAGAAAGAACATTTCTCTCTACTGCCAGGCAGAGTACTGGGAGGAACAGAGAATGGGACCTGGAAAGGGTGATACGATTTGAGAAGATAGTCAGTCTGTAATATAGTATTGCTGGTTATATAGCACCTCCTGAACAGCAGAAGGGAATTGTACTTCATTCACATGCTGAGAATGAAGGGGTGTTTGAAAAGCAGGATGATTTTGATCCATCCTGCTCACTGCAATGCTGTGATGCCCAAGGGGTTCTTATCCTCATGTCCATTCACCTCGCCTCACAGGTTCCTCTGCACGAGCATGAGGGAGTAATCTGTTCTTCCCTCTGAAACAGTAATGCATGCTGCACAAGCACTACTTTTAAAGAAGATGAAAATGAGAAACCTCTCTGGACTTGAGAACTCATCCCGACGAGTGTACAGAATAAGGCGGTTTATTGCTGAGATGACAGATTTTTTTGGATTGCTTTTCTTAAGGAAAAAATAAAAAAATACCCTCCCCTACCCCTTAAAAGGCGATCTAAAAGGCTTTGTGGAAACTGTCTTTTGAACGACAAGAAAGTTACCTACCTCCTGCCTCTTCAGAAGAGCTGGAAGAGAGTTTTGAGTCGGAAGTGTTGCTTGTAGTTGGGTGATCTGGAAATAAGAATACAATTTGTGCTTTGAATGGCTGACCATTTTGCCGTACACTGTCAGAGCTCTTCTGGATCTCTTTGACTCCCACCAACACCCCACACAGAATGCCTCCTCCTCACCTCTTTGCATCTCGATTGAAATAAAACTGGGATCATAATTGACTGGCATCTCCTGGTGCAAAGCAGTTATCAAACTACTCTTTTATAAATTGCTGGATTGTGAATTGTAATA